CTTCTCCATGTGATACACAACAGGAAAATCTTATTCCAGCCTCTCTGGCTATAATTTCAAACTATTTCCTGGTATTATTTTCACGCTCCCAAAAGCCCATGGCTATCATCCCTCCAAGCTGCCTTGACAATAGTTGTAACTGCATTTATTTCCCAAAGCCCTGAAAGCAGCAGATTTTGCATTGCTTGCAGTTGAAATCCTCCCACCAGCAGAGACTCGAGACAGAACCCAAACATCCCAAGACAAGCGTCATGCCTTGGGCCAGGTTATTGAAACTTAAACCAGAAGTGATTTCTCAAAGTATTTTATATCCCTGGTTTTGCAACCGTTCAGGTTTCTGGGCGTAAGGCTGAAAGGGGATGCCCTCCATCTGTATAAATACCTGACGGGGGTGTGAGGAAGATGGAGCCAGACTTTTCTCAGTGGTAACCAAGGAAAGGACAAGAGATAATGAGTATAAACTCAAAACCATGAAATTCCACTTAAATACTAGGAAAAAAAACCCCATAATTAATGTGTGGGTGGTCAAACACTGGAACAGGTTGTTGAGTTTCCATCACAGGAGATTTCCAAAAACCCAACTGGACATGGTCCTGAGCAGCCTTCCCCAGCTGACCCTGCTCTGAGCAGCGGGGTTGGACTAGACGATCTCCAGAGGTTCCTGCCAACTTCACCGACCACGTGAGTGCACGAAGAACCGTTCCCAGCCCTTTGCTGTATTCAGGTCTCGGGCACCGAGAAGTTTCTTGCAAGGAAGGGATGTCAAGCATTCCCATTCTCTCCGTGGAAATTATGGAAGTTATCCACAGCTTTATCTTCTTGCAAGAAGAATGGGAGATAGCAGAGCAGATTACAGGTCTGGACTACACTTATGGGGAAAGCAGCTTCCTAAGAACAAAGAGAATTGGGAAAACAGAGACCTGAAACAGATACCAAGCAAAAGATACCCTGCGCATCAGCTTGGTTTGCCTTTAAAAAAGGCTGCAATATCAAAAAGCAAATTGGCAGTTAACCCTTAACTAATCTGCAGCAAAGTCTGGCCTGAGCAAACATCCAGCTCAAAGGGTTTGGAGACAGTCAGTGGCCACGGTGACAGCTACAGGGCAGCAGCGACAGACTCACTGTCATCTCTAGAGACAACCAGCCTGTTATGCACTCCATATGTACATCTATATAAAACCCCAGCATCCTTATCAGCAATAAAAGCCTGCACAAAGAGACTTCCAGAGTCTTTAGTTGGCCTCTAGTAGAGACTGATGTGAAGGACGTCCCAAAGTACTGGAGTCCTCGAGCCTCTGGGACAGTTCTGGCTGACAGCTGCGAAAAGCTGGATTTCTCACCATAAAAGACAGCAATTCCTGAACAGTGTTTGCTCCAACGAGTAATAAATTAGACAGGCTCTCGCACTAAGAATTTTCAAAGTTTTAGCAAAAGCTCCATCACAGAGGATTCGTGCTAAGTAGTTTGGGTGTTCAAGTGACATGATTAGATGATCTTTAAAGGTCCCTTCCAATCCAAACCGTTCTACAGAGTCTAAATCCCACACGTAGTCCACAAGAGACTGGCTGACATGCCTACCACCCTCTGAAGGGTTCAGTGATAAGCCAAATAGCCCAAGGTCCTAATTACCCACCTCCAATTAGGTGATATGAGTATCTTTTATGACAAAATTCATTTAGTAAAGGCAGCTACAGAAAATGGGATCCAAGAAAATTTCAAAACTGCTAAGAACTTACTGAGAGATGGAAAGCTGAGAAAAACATCAAGATAGCATCACAAAAAAATCTGTTTTTCAAAAGCAGCCAAGTATGGGGCCAAACCAAAATCATACGACGTCTTGAGTAGGACCTGATTTGGAGTAGCATTTATTGGACAATTCTAACAGTCCTGGACTCCAAAAATGATTCAAGGCCATGCTGTCACTCTTCAGTTCCCAACGCTTAAAAACCTCTTAATATCTTTCCTGTCCCAAATAATTCAAAGGCCCTTTTCTTTAGAAATGATGAACAAGTCCCCAGATACTCAGTATCCTGTTTACAACACTTCAGCAACTTTTCACCCAAGTACAGTGAAAGAGAAAATAACCCACCACCACCCCAACCCAAGATGACCAGTTACCTTCACTTGCCAGCCACAGCTCTAGCTGCCTCAAGGTATCACCAAATGCTATTTTATTAATAGTTTAAAACCTTAAGACACCAATGCAACTGTCTAGTTCATTACCATCGTACGAGAGACGAGGTTACTGGATTTCAACCTGCAGCCCCTGTGCTTGCTGGAGAGAAAAAGACTCCAAATGACAGAAAACATGAGCTCCCTGGTAACCCTAATTAATTGTCCTCAGTCTTGGTATTGATTTTTTCAAGTTTTCATTTCTATGCCTCTATACCAGACTAAAATGCCCCTAATGACAACTTCTTCTTGCACAGGAACCCACAAATACATCTTAAGGCACTTCTCTAACTTTCTGATAAATGATGTTAAGCACTAAATTTATCATAAGCCATGTGTTGCATTTCTACTGAAGAAACCAGATTCACAGATTTTCAGGACAGAGCCCCATAGCATGCAAGGAAACTTTGCACAGGCTGTTAGTAATCATTCCTCATGGTTTACATCAAACCTAGGGAAAGGACCAAGCCCTCAGCCCAGCACAGACACGCAGGTGCCAAACATACTATTTTTCCAATACAGGCAAACCTCTATAAATTGTCTGATTTTTCTAGTTCCTTAAATTATGATCGGAGTCTTCTCTGGCTCTCTTTCTGCTAAGCTGAAACCATTTGCCCTTGCAGGGTACCTATGGGGATGCATAACCACTTTCTGTGGTGAAACCCTTACACTTCAGGAACTATTTATGCACTAGAGATAAACGCATATAGTCTTAAGTTTCCCCGAGTTTTGATTTTTTTAAAGGTCTTAGGTGGGTTGTTTTTTTTTAAATCCCATCTATTTAGTCACGCATTCTGTTCAAAGGGTCCTCCACATGTAAGATGACACAACTGCAAGTAGCTTCTTCATTTTGATTTTGCCCCCAGATTTCAAAAGTTCATTTTGTCTGTGGGAGAAAGACAGACTGAAAAGATTTTTACCCTGATGGTTAAATCTTTCCAAACATGTAGTCCTCTGTGATTGCACACATCTTTAAAGTGCACAAGTTCTCCCTTGTTTCAGTACTTTCTCTAACTTTGTTTCACTTTCTTAGCATCCTTTTCTGAAAATTCATTTATGTACTATTACATTTGTTAAAATGCTGAATTCAAAGCGACCCTTTGATGTTGTTTTACTTGCTCAATTCTTCCACAGCTTCCTCCTAAGTTACAAGCCTATTACCTGCCAATTCCTCGTACCAAAGGTTATCATCATCACCATAGCTCGCCTTTCTTCTATTCCAAGGAGGGACATCAAATTCATTCCAGAAGGAAAGAGGCAGCTTATGAGGGAGAAGGGATATGCAAATATTATCTTACACACTGATGTTTTATTTTTAGCAGCTCGGTGATATTTATAAGGCTGTGAGGAGTGGATACGTGGCTGCGGTAGGATGAAGTAAGTATCCCAGGGGTAGGTATGAAAAATCTGCATATCTGCAGGGCAGGAAAAAGGAACAGGCAGTGCTGCCTGGAGTTCATAAAAAGGGGGAGAAGGCCAAATGCTCCGAGCGTGTCTTCTTACAGTTGTTCTCAAAAATCAAGTAACTAGGAAACAAATTAACATCTTGACCCTAAATTTTAGCTCATCTTGTGTATTCCTTATTATTAAAGGTATTTATATGGTGAAGTGCTGGAACAGACAAATCAAATAAGAGAATCTCAGAAATTTCAGCTCAATTTGGGAAAGCACCAAGAGAGCAGTTTCAAGAATGAATGCATCCATTAAAAAAGTCCTTTTTCTAAATTTCTTACATGGCCCCTAGATACCCCCACCATCTGCTTCAATTTGCCAATCTGAAAACAATTACCTCTCATAGCAACACCGAAAGCTTTCGTGTTTTTAAGAATTTGCTGTCTTCAAGGAACTGTCAAATAGTTCACTGTAGTTGTTCATACCTTTGCTGTAAAGTCATCACTAAAGATGCAAACAAAAGTCTTACATAAAAGATCAGAATAAATTGGACCACAACTCAACAATATACTTAATGCATCAGGAGTGTCGAATTCACCTTCTGCCATTGCTTAGTATCCCTTTTTTGGCTGAAGGGAGCACATACATTCACCTAAACCTGAAACCATAAATTAAGGCAAAGTTCTTGGGCAAAAGCGCTTAAGAAAAATCTTGCTCTAGTTTATATTCTCATGGCTTTTCAGTCCTAGATATGCCAGGGACACTCAAAATACTGCAAGACCCCAGGTGACAATGAAAATTTGATATAAGCCAGAAGAACTGTGTGTCATCTGCTTTGGGCTTTTCATAACTGTGCATGGAAAACTACAGACCATCTATGCGTTGGCATCTGCAAAACACAATAGACTGTCCAATTCCACTGACAGTGAAATCTGTATTAAATTGCTTTTTGTCATTCTGTAGTAACGTGGAAATTGCAGGACTTAAATCATAACTTGGTCCCTCTTGTTGGTCACCGTTATTTCACTAAGAGTAAAAGCTCCCAAACTATCAAAACCTGAACCATGTATTATGGCATACTGGTAAGGTTATTATTGTTTTGTTTTGTTTTTTTTTTACTAGAGAAAGAAATATGGTATGTTTCATTTCATATATATTATTCTCTTCCATCCTGAGCACTAAGTACAGCAGAAACCAAACTAATACCTATTCCAACATAAAGGTAACACAAAAATAATTAGTGTCCTAACCCACTATTCCGGCAACTGCACGTTGACTTTATCAGGAGACTTCTCCACCATAATTAACTACATTATTTTGGAACTAATGCTGATGGAAAAGAAAACAAAAGGAAAAAAAAAAAGTGTATGAAAGTCATAGGGACTTCATTTTTAAAGTAACTAAGGTTAGCTGAAAAAACAACAGCACCATCTAGGGGTTACTGCATGTTCTTACATAGGTGCATAGTCAGGACAAGTAAGATAAATGGTTTTTTAGGTTTTGTATTTTTAGTTCGAGTTACTCTAGTTGGAATTTAATCTTAACTACAATATCAACAGTAAAATCACAGCTTAAAAAAAAGACTGACGCAAAAAGCTGTATTAGACTTTGGATGAAATCTACTTACAGTAGTACTTCAGCACCAAAAAGTGGGCAGTTAGGCTGATAGATGTATATACAATTAAATGATATGTCAAAGTCTTAAAATGCTTAGTTATTTATAATGAAATCTATACAAAACAGTTAAAAACGTGTTTTTATATACATTTGGAAAAAAAAAAAGTATTGTCTTCATTAGCAGAATGTATTAAAACTGGTTCTCTTATCCCATCTGAACCCAAACCTCTCTCTGTGGCTTGTAACTATCACAAAAACCCAATATATTGCTTCAACAAGCCGAGTCATAAGGCTAATTTCTGAAACCTACCACTGTATATCGATTTAAGCTTTTAAACTCTCAAAATGGTCACTTTAAAAACAGCATGTAAGAGTAAAATACAGATTTTTAAAAGCCTTAGCTCACTTCTAAATTCAAAGGTTCAACTTTGAAAGATGCTGAACCACTTATCCCCAATTTTGAAAAACTGATTTATAGCAAAATACATGCCCCAACCCGTTTGTATTAGAATTAACACACCTGCCTGTTTCACAGGAACTTTTTAAACAACTTGGCCTCACTTTAAATTTTATATTTAAATAAATAATCAAATATTAACTAGAGTAGATGAGCATTTCATGTGCTTATGGCACAAAGAAATGCCTCATTCACCATTACCCTACTTCTTGTAAAGCATGAAAACAAAAATCTACTAGCAAATCCACTTTGCTACCAGTTAGTGATTTTGCTTATTTCCAAAGATTCACCAACAAGAATTTAAAAAAAATAAACTATATTTTTAGGCTTATGAAAAAATCTTAACTCTAAGTGAGCACAAGTGCAAGAAAGCTAACCAATTCCAAAAGTCCTGGGGCTTTTCCAGCACTGTCAGAGACACTTTTTCTCTCACATGCTATTTAAAAATACAAATATTTATTAAACATTCTCTTTTTTTGATGGTGTTTTGCTCAACAGCTAACAAAAAGACACAGCAAAATAATGATCCCTTTTCACTGAAAGCTGTTTCAGTATCTGGGCAAGGGCTTCAATAGCATGAGCTGTAGAATTTGCTGCAGATTTGCTTTTTAACAGGAGTACATTCCACTGTCACAGGTTTACTAAATCTTGGTTGGTTTTTTTTTTTTTGAAATAATTTTTAAGATGCAGCTTTTGCAATACCGTCTTGTTAAAACACACTGATGCTTCAAGAGTCCAATGAACAACTCTAATAGGCAAAGTGCTCTAAGACATCACAATACAAGGGCATCTTGGATACTTAAAATCCCAAGATATTTTAAAGTGCACTCCAGTGTCCCAATTTCTTAGGATTGTTCAGCAGAACTTCGAGAGGGGCTGGGCTCCGTGCCGTCCTCAGTGCTACTGTCCACATCTTGCTCCACTGCTGTCTCCTCATCGTCGAGGCGCTGACTGGTGAAGTTGTTGAGCTCCAGGAGCCCGCTGGGTTCCACTACCACATTGGAGCTGGAGTGACAAGGGATGGAATAGTGAGGGATAGTCTGAAAGAAAGAAAAAAAGATTTAAGTTTTAACACGCACAGTGTTCACAGCTAAAGGCATCTGCGCAAGCACAAGTACTCAGGGAAAAGGGATATTTGGTTTCCAAGTGCAACTTTCCCTAGCTAAGGCACACCGCATGTTACATCAGTAAAGCTTCAAAACACACTTTCACCAGATGAGGTTGCAAAAGATAAAATTTGAATAGTCTTGCTCTTAAGGCACTTGGCCTTGGATCTTCACTACAGGTCTGTGACAGCATAACCAACAGCTAAACCACCAATGCCAATGCCCACCATCCATCATTTCTCAAACGCAAAGCAGAGATAATACTTTCTTCAGCCATATCTTTTTCTTATCTTTTTCAGACAAGACATTCAGATGTAAGGGCTAGCTATATTTTTTGTATACAATGCAATACAAGCTCTGGCCCTGCTCAGAGCTGCAGCAGCATAGAGGCTGAGGAAATACAACAGATTTAAGCGATTTATTTCTGCTTATACTTTCATAGGTTCTAGAAACTAAATCTATAACTGTATACAATTGAAATTCTGGGCAGTATTTTACGTTTGAAACAGCTCGTAGCACGCCACAACGATAAACAATACAGATTCTCAAAATACACATAACTGAAGTAAAATAGAAGTCTACCTTTGTCTATTTAGGGAAATAAGGACTAAAAAGGAGTACAAAAATCACGATTTCTACAAAAGCGAAGTTAGCTGCAATGAAGATTTTACAGAGTAACATGAAAAATTTGAAAGCTCTGTACACAAATTATTTCCCACATTAGAAGCATTTTCACTATAAGACAAATACGATACACAATAAAACCATTTCAATCCACGCTGTCGTTCGTGTGAACATATACCATGCCAACTCATCTACAAAGATTCGTACTATACCCCTATGAGTCCTCAGATGACTTAAATCCTTCCTCAGTTGATGTTCTGACCACGTATTACATCATAAACCATCATATTTAAGACAGCAGAATCAATGAAAATACCAATCATCAGTTAGGCAATGACTCAAAAGCATTTAGGCTAAAGATCAACAGTCATTTAATCTCAAAAGTGGTCAGACTGATTATAAGTGAAGTTAACAAGTCTTCTTCAGAATCCAAACCTTATTTACTGAACTTTCCCAGTAAGTAGAACCCCACAACTTCATTTCTTGTGCTGATTTTATACTTAGAAATAACACTGATACTATAAAAAATTCTAGATCATAGTTCCATAGTAAGTGTTAAAGGTCACATTTTTAAGCATTTTAAATAAAAGTACTCTAAAATTAAATGAGTTTGGTTTGTTTTCTTAACAGAAGAGAAAGGAACACATCGAGGACACAGTGAATTATACAGTGCTAGAGAAACTTGAGCTCAATTTAAGAATAATTACACACTTTGAAGTAGTAATCCATTACAAGGGTAAGAATAATAAAAAAACCCCAAACTGGGGAAGGAAAGCAAAAATACTCGAACACCGTTCAGTTGCTATCATCACATTAGACACGAGTTTGCTCTGCTCAACCTTTGCCTTATTTGCTCTGATCTTCTCTTACCTGGATAACAATTTCTGATGAACTCTCTTCAGCTTTCTTTTGTGATATATTCTGAATGTGTATAAACTGGTTTGTTGTAGGTATTCCTTGTGCATCGAGTTTCCTCTCTGTTAAAGTAGGACCAACAGCAGGAGGACTTGAACTGGATTCTGTACATGTCTGTTGCTGGGGGATGGAAGTTGCCGTCATCCCTACTGCAGTCACCCTCGGCACCTGGGTACAAGGTGACGACGCGGCTTCGCTAGCGAGTTTACTAGTGGACATGGCCTTGTTTGGGGGATCCGCTATCGTATGTTCTAGGTTTGTATCAATCTGAGCTTCCACCATAGACACTCTCAAAATATCTGCTACTGCTGTCTTCGCGGATGCCTGCATGGGAAATAGGCTGGTAACTGGCAATGCCAGTTTGGGCACAGAACTGCCACCTGCTACCTTTGAAACAGAAGGAGGCTGACACCCCTCAAAAGTTATCTTTGTAACAGTGGATCCTTGCGTTATAATTGGATGCTGCACCTGAAAATCAAATTTTTGTTGTGCATGTTACAGCTAATTTTTTTCCTTTTTTAAATTGAAAATCTAATCAATATTTCCAAGGACAGTATGGCACAAACAACATACTTGCTATTAGGAAGACAGTTGAAACTCAGTGTTTTAACAAAGGAATTAGCAATGATATGGTAACAGTTAATTGAAGCCTGGGGAAAAGCAGCTTTTTAGGCTGCTAGATAAGGATTGTAGCAGTATAATACCACAGCAGCCTCGTTTTCCTTTGGGATTTACATCCCCATGTGATGTTTGTTAACCCTCTTGTTTTCACATGTATTCCTGAAAGGGCCAAAAAAAAAAAAAAAAAAAAAAAGAAAAAAATTGTACTTTTCTGGAGTTAAATACATTTCCCCCCCCCCACATTCCTCAGTCTTTACATTTTCCCCTCCCAAAGAAAATCAAATTACTCCTGTACATGAAAGCCATATAACTTCAGGAAGATGTAAACTACAAAGGAAGACGTACAATGGAGAGCCTTAGGAGACTGCAGTGTATTCATCTTTATTTCCACAGAAATAAAAAGTGCTACGGGAACGGAAATTAGTAATGTGTCATATCTAAAAATTAAAAGAAAATAATTAGGGACAAATTCCATGCACCAGTGGTGGCAGAAATTCATAAAAACTGTCCAACAAAACACGTTTGTGAGCTCTATGGATTTTCCCCTATAACATGTGCTTCTCTTTCCTAGTGTCAACCTTCTGATGGGGTAATTAATACCAGCGGAATGAGGAGTTCTCTCTTGCCAGGACAAAACACTGCTACAGCGACAGGGTTGGTGTTTTGATTATTTTTTTTTTTTCCTTGAACAGCGACGTGTATTTTGCATGCTATCAATATTCCGTTACCTGGCTTGCTGGCTGTTTCTCTGAAGAGGCAGGTAGCTGCATTTGACTCTGGGGGGGTTGGGGTTGCACGTAGATTTTTTGTGCCGTTGGTGCCTGTTGCAGTTTGGGCAGCTGCTGCGTGGTTTTTACTGCAAGCACCTGTACTACAGTTTGCTGTGGCTGTGCCACTAAGGTAGGGAGTTGCCTTTCTTTGGCCATCATGTGGTGTGGGGGGTGCTGTGCATCTGGTTTGGTCTGTGCTTGCTCTTGCTGCAGGGGGGTTAGCTTTTGATGCCTTATAGAAAGTTGGGGCATTTGTGGGAGTTTGTGCTGGATTTGATCAGCCTGCAGGTGGATTGTCTGCTTCTGCTTAGTCTGGAAACACTGCAGAGTTTTCACTTGCAGTTGAGTCTGTTCCAGCTGTGGCTGACTCAGTTTTTGCTGTTTTTGTGCCTGCGATTGTGTCAGGGCAGATCTGTAAAACAGGCCAGTCTGAGGATCTAAGGTGTCCATCTCTTCCACTTCTCCTTCCTCGGTTCCAAGTTGTTCACTGTGTTTGGTAAATGCAGTGTGACTGCTTAAGGCCTTAATAAGAAGAAGTTAGAGCAAGTTAGTCAAGAGAAACATAAATTATAAGAATACAAAATCTAAAAATAATTTTTAATGTTTCAACTGCACTACTTTATTTCACCATTACAGACTCTCAATTAATGTATAAAAAGGCACCCTTACATGGACATTCCACAATATGTAAGCAATCAATAGCTATTTTTATCATGTTAAAATGTGGTATGTCTCTATGTGACAACATTAACTGCATAACTAATCCTCACTGGAGATTACACAGCCCTCGCATGTGTCATACTAAGGTTCAAAGCCCCTAAGGCTGCATGGCAGCTGGATTTGAAGTAGCAGGGATTAGCAGGTGATTGATCCAGTAGCTCCTTGTTAAAGCCAGAGTTTCTCTGCACAACAAATTCTTATTCTGCCTCTTCAGCGCCTAGTCATCTTCTCCATGATTTCTTCTGCAGCTCCCCATAGACCTACAGTCTACCCTATTTCAGCAGAGATTCTCTCTTCTCCTTCCTTCCTCAAAATTGTATTGCAATTTTTCTTGGGCATTGCACAAACAGTGCCTGATTTTTTTGAGGGATTTGAAGGAGGAAGAAATCTACGTTACTATGCTTTGTATACCATAGTATTAACGTATTAATAAATGGCCTTAGCAAGATGAAGCAGCCTACTCAAACCCTGTGAAAATAAACTCTCTGAAGTAGGTTTATAAACCCTAACATAGTACTGTCCTGGTCCACAGCTGAAGTTCCCAGAAGTTACAGCACTGCAGAGTTGAGCAGGTCTTGAACAAACGCATCGGAGTGGCTTCAGTAAGATATCACCACAATCTACACTGTCGGAAGTGTTTGGGATCCTCATGGTACTGGTCTAAATATGATCTTACTTCCTGATTCAGAGAAGTTTGCCTATTCACGAACTAAAGCCCTCAAATGAAAAAGACACTGTGTGCTCTGTGTACTGACCAGATTCTGCTTTATCCCTCTTCCCCCTACGCTAACGCCAACATAATCTAAAGAGCCTAAGCCCTTGCAATACAACATACAGAAAAAAGCAGCTTGTTGCTGCTGAAGAGATGACATACAGACAGCAAGAACTCATCTAGGAAGCACTATCTTCCACAGTGGCTGTTAAGAGCTCTTACTTAACAATCTCAAGTAATCTCATTAACTGCTTCCCTTTTATCCCACCACCCTCACCATCAAAATAAAGTTACTTCTTTGCCCTTACACTTAGCATTTTCAGTGGCAGCAACACGACACATTCATTCAGAACAAGCCCTGGTCCTATACAATTCATATAGCCTACTGCTGTTTATAGACTGTTGGGAAAAGAAAGGGTACAACCTGCTGCATGATATGGGTAATTGCTCCTGTAGAGGATGCGGGGATAGATTTCACCACAACAGAAGTCTGCGTTGCTGTCTGCGACTGAGCCACATGCTGCAGCAGAGTCCTCTGGGGCTGAGATGACTGCTGGTGGGGCTGGGACCGATGACTGACTGAAAGTAAAGAGGTCAGTGGCACTTCTCCAGAACTAACTGCAGTAACTTCAACTATTTGCTTTCCACTTAAGCTTCAACTGAAAGCATCTATGAGTGAAATAAAGATCTGAGTATGAAAACCATCTTCTACTGTATGCTAGCTTCAACCTTAAAGGGTAGATCTATTCTGAGAAGCCTCTTCAAGTAGCAACTCAGGGGTTTTGCTTTTGTCTGTTTCCTAAGTAATCATGCTTGGTCCAAACCTTCTCTGGCCTCCCTCTCCCAACACACCAACTTTGCAAGCAGAATTTATACTCGATTTTCAGCTGGGTTCTCTATACAGCACCAGCACAACACTGTAGAGCACAAGTTATTCTGTGGTTTTTACACTGTTAAAAGCACTTGCACAATTGACTGCAATTAAGAACAGCAAGCCTTGCTCACTGAATTTCCACCACTGATAAACTGCAAGAAATACTCTCCAGAGCATAGGCTAAATTGGAAAGACTAGCAATTAGAAAATATTTGGGTATTATGAAAGCAAGTGAGGTTGGATCAGAAATCACAGACCAAAAAATGAAGACCTTGTCATGGGTCTACGTCACTTTTTAGAACAGATCCAGCATGAGTTATGGAGCTATGGTGATGGCTCCCTAATTAAACAGTGGACTGACAGAGAAATGATCTTCTGCTGAGAAAAAAAACCACAAACCATTCTATATTGCAGTCACTGGTAAGACATGAATCCAAATTACTTTATGCCTGTCCACACTAATATGTAAATATTTGCTTTCATTAACTTTTTAGTTACAAAATAATAACTGAAGGAGAACAAGCAAAGTTTAAATTCAGTTGTAACATAACTTAAAGTTAAAAAGTTTCTAGTGACCTTCCTGAAAGTTAAAAGAAAGGTCATATTTTGAATTAATATGATAATTTTATTTTTCCACTCCAAGAAAGGAGTTAGATTATATCAATACCGGCCTGCATGCCGTGCCAGATCCATCGTGGATATCCCCCAACAGTTCCTGCACAATTGAAAACTTCATTTAAAAATAAAGTTTCTAACCTATATGGTTGTGTAGATATTCTTCCGAATGTGAACCAATACAGTGTTGTCTTCCTGAGTCTGCAGACAGACAAAAAATGGTGACACTAAGATGTGTGAACAGCTCCCTTCATCTCACGAGGAAGCACATGCTGAATCCCAGCTCCCATATAGATTAAAGTGTGCCTAATCCTTTGGTCTAGGCGCATGCAGGAGATTTCACAACAGTTTACAGACTGTTTACTATCTTACTACTGAATTTTTAGCAGAAAATATAGCTACGTGGATTACTGATTAATCCTGAGAAGCACAAATTAAACCAAAAAGAAACACTCCATTACCTGCATTCCCTGGCAGTGTTCACAGGAACTGGGGGAAGGCACAAAAATATAAGAGCAAAATGACCAGTTTTGTGCTATAGCAGAAAGTGCTGCCAGTCAACCCACAGCAGCCTGCATTTCTCTGGTAGATTCCTGTATATCAACTCACAGTTTGCAAAAATCCCAGTATTTCAAATAGTAATCACAGCTCAGGGAAATTTTCAACTTTTGTACTTTGTATGGCTTCTAAGCTGCGCAAAGATACTGTAGACTGTAATTTCCCATCCTTCCTGCAAAGAGCCCTATTTTACATCAACTTTTACGGCGAGACCCATCAAAAACTGGAACCTTGAACACAAGCTCAATGCACAGTATCTGTGTCAGTGAAAATAACTGATGTGCTAATTGGAGATCACTTGGAACACTATTTATTGTACTTTTGAGTTTGTTTTAGAAGAGATCCAAGGGAACATGACTCAAACATTCAAAACTGAAGCCAGATACAGTAAGTGTTATTTAAAAGAGTAACAATAACAGCCCCCCCCAGTTCCAATTTCACACAACTTAAATTTAGACCATAGAAGGGATGAAGTGAGGGGAGGAGGTACAGAGCAGGCAAACAAAAAATGAGAATATCAGGTTGGACACTTAACACTAAAAACACTGGAGTTACAGACATGTTCTTATACAATTTAATATAATCAAGTTTTATTCCTCTTTTCCAATGCAGATTTTCAACACACTTCTGCTTTCATTTTCCAAATAAAGTAGGGAGACCAATAATGTGGACTTAGAAATTAAAATGGAAAACAGGCAATTTGATCCTCTCACGTATGTATGGGAAGTGGCTCACAACTAGTGTTCTGGGGTAGTAGGAAGCATCAGAGAGACAAGGGACTCAAGGACTTATGCAAAATGGACAACCAGATAGAAGAAGTCAAGAGTTTAAAAAGTTAAGAGTCAAATCCCAACCATACTTTCAAGTTGAATAGTTTATTTGTTTAAAAAGTGCAAGTTTATCAGTTCAAAGCTTTCTAGCAAATGAAGAAACTGGGGACTACATTAGTATGCTAAATGCACACCTGGCTTAAAAACCCACTTAGTCCTGGTAAGCAAGTAACATTTTGCAAATATGGGTTAAACTAACTCAAAGTCTGACTCCTCTTGATAGGTACAAAAAATAGTATATAGTTCCTGTAACTTAATTTTCTACTTTTTCCTTACTAGACATTTTCCTTAAAGACAGGTGGGACAGCCTGTCCTCCCCATCAGATCAGGGAACAGAAAATCTGTTCAACTAGGATGTCTTGAAGCAACAACCCTTTGTTTCAGTTAGAAACATTATCCACTATGCCCCAGAAAAGCAGATGCAATCTCTGTCCCCTGCACAGGGTCTCAAGAACAGAAGAAAAGATTCCTCTACAGCAAATTATAGTGAAAACACAAAAATGAAACCCATTGTAAGAAAACTCCAAAATTAAGCCCCCAGACTTCAACTGCAAACCCACCATCACACTACCTTAGTCACTTACCAGTTGTGATATATTCAGCAACTAATTCCGACTCTACTACAGCGATTGAAGGACTTTCTGGAGAATGCCTCTTTTCTTGGGTCATCTGGATTGGGACAGCCATTTGGCTCAAGTCAATGGTAGGCTGCCTTGGCTTCGACTCTAACTTTTCCTTCACTGCTTTAGAAGAAAAGCAAAACATAAAATAAACCTCTAATATATAAACCCCCATAATAAACTAAACCTCCAATATAAATGCCAGTTTAATTAAGTAGATAGTGAACTTTATATAATAGATTCAAACAAACTGTTACAGGAAAACAAGAAAGGAATCAAGCTGATTCAAGATAGGTGCTTTTCAATTATAAAACGTATTACAACCTGCTGCTTAAGCAAGTAATAAGCTTTGAAGTTATCCTAAACAACCACATGTATTTTCACACCTGTTGTCTGCTGAAGTTCCAGCAAAGCTTTTATCGTGGAAGTAGCTGACTGAGATTCACTGGATACATCCTGGTAAATTATTGTAGGGCTTGTGTCCACAGCAATTTCATGTTCTGACCAGTCTTGACTTCTTGAAGCAATCACATGGACTACAGGCTGAGAATCTGCAAAAGAACAAAAGCACATCAAGTCATCATAGAACCGTTTTGGGTTGGAGGTCTCTCATCCAACTTCTTGCTTTAAAGCATGGCTATAGGTCAAAATTAGACCGGGTTATTCATTATCCATTAGCATTTTGAATGCTGCCAAGGATGCATACTCTCATTCTACAGCACTTTAGTTTTTATTACAATTGACTCTTGAAGTAAAACACTGCTGATGTTACGAATAGCCTCCACCAAAAAAAAGATCCTGGTCTTAGTTGTTTGTAAAAGCTTTGGTTTGAACAAAGTCCAGAAGGTTTCTTTGTACGTTGAATTTGCCTTGGATTGAACTCTTTTTCAGGAGGTTTTAGCAGTTCATGTGATCAACACGTACTCAGCATTCTGAATTAACAGCTCCTGAATTTTGATAAGTTTGTTGAATCTCCAAAACTTTTTTTTAATTTACTTAAAATGGCAGTATAGACCAACGGTTACAGAATTATATAGAAAAGGTGATTGAAAGGCATGTAAGTACATATGTTTCACTGAGAGACATTTGTTTTTATCTGATGCAGTGATACACCCTATGGTCACTCCTGACCAAAGGCTGGGGGTTATTTATACCCTATTATTTATCTCCCTCTACCACAGAGAGAGCTGCATCTGTATCATGGCTCAAAGCATCCCCATCAGTACTGCATGTCTGATATATGTCCTGATGCACATATACGTGCCTTTAAAAGGACCAAAATTTATGTTGATCACATGACAGCTTTCAGTCATGCAGTGGAGAGATGCTTCAATACACTCAGGAAAGAGGGTGACAGAGCATGGGCTGCCAAAAACCAAACCAAAACAAAACCAAAACCAACCAAACAAAACCCCAACCTGCTACACTGCCTACCTCTGGCAGATTCCCCAGAAAGAGGGAACAAGGTTCCAGGCCACAAGCATTGTAACAGTAAATCAGAGCCCAGCAAGAAACCATTATCTCCACTTTTTGCACAGGAAACGGAGGCATATAGTAAATAGCTCATAAAAGAGAAATAAAGCCAAAAGGGAAGTGAACAACGACACTCACTGCTAGCAGAATGGGTGACAACCCGTGCTAATAGGAGACACAGTGAGTTATATGAAACTAGCTAGCACGCTTGGGAGACAGTCCCTTCGTACTTTATGCGACACTAATACACACCTTGGGAGCTCTGGGAGGACTCTGTAGAAGAAGAGCTGCTATCGGTGTAGGTTTGTGGTTCTTCTTTCACTTCTGGGAGAGACGAGTTTCCTGTCTCTGCTACCCTTGATGCCTGCTGTAACGTTTCAGTCACCAACTGCCTAGTTTGTTCACTCACAACTGTTGCTTGAAATGTCACTGGCTTTGGTTTTATGAGAACCTAATTAGAAAGACAAATTTTGTGTATGGTAAGAGCACTCAAGAAAACATATTTGAGCAGAGTACAGGGTGCCACTCAAATAGATCAATGTACAAGACCCACATAATACTAATAATTTACTGAAAAAGTTTATCCGTAAATTCAGCAGCTCTGATTATTAAACCACAAAGCCCAATTAAATGGCAATACACAAGAATGTACTTCTCACTCAGTAATTTGGAGTACTTAGCACAATAAACCACTAAACAGTCATTTTTCAGGACTGGATACAACTATGGTGTGACAAGAGAAAGCTATGCAAGTGAGCTGCAACGTGCACTGCACCAATAAGGACAAGCACCTCTCTTCCACAGCCCACAATAAATACAGTCTTGAACAATCAAGACATGCAAAATATTACGTCTGGTAAAAGTTTAGTTCTTTTAAATAATAAGTGCAAAAAAAAAAAAAGCTGAAACTGAAAGTATCCAGAAATAAGCCAGATTCTCTGCATACAGCCCTACCAACTACACAAGGTTGCAAGGACAACCTGAACACACAATAACCAGAAAATAACTTCAATAAAACCTGATTTGAAGGATGGCCTACGTCCAGACTCTGCATCTTTATTTCTCATGATCTAGCCATTAGCCATAAGACTTAAATAGGCGTCTAGAGCCATGACCAGACAGTTTCAGCTATGTAAAAGACTTAGTAAATCCTTTTGGCTTGCTCTAGGCCTCCAGAAACACCTAACAAATGCAAACACTGCGCTCAAGAAATCAGAACCAAGACCACCTCATTACACCCCTAAGTCTCCTTCCCCGTAGACATATATTAATCCTGCAACAAATGAGGCAACACAGTGAAAAATTATTTACTTCCCATTAAAATTTAGGGGTACATTTCAAGACAGAAATGGGTCCTCACTGTACCTGCGTTTTCCCTTGCTGACCATAAACAATTTTAGTTGGGATGATTTTGGTGGCTGGCTGGACCGTGGACCCTATTCCTTTTGGCTGCGTAACAATCATTTTTGTGATGGGTCTTGTGGCAGTGATGATAGCAGGTTTTGCTCCTGCTGGCACTGCCTGAATCGTTTTCTCCCCCTGTAGAGAAGTCAAAGTTTACAGGTTAGCTTAGTGAAATTCTTCAGAGACACCCACTTCTCTAAAAAAAAATACACAGTTATAGATGCGTGTATATACCATGAAATCAACCTGCTGCTGCTGCAACTAGACTTATACGATACAAAAAACATTCAAAGACCAAGAACAAAAAACCCGATGACTTCAAATGGAAAAGCTACCAAAATCCCCTTTTCCACTACTTTACCTTTTGAGCAACTCTAAAGGGGTGAATAAAAATGAGTAACTAAAAGACACTGACAAGTTTTTTAAAGTTGCTTCAAAGAATTCACGTAAGTTGGAACTTTCCCCAAATCCTTCGCAAATATTTTTTAAAACCTCTTATTTCTATTAACACTAACTTTCGCAAGACATCTACAAAACTTGAATTGAGATTCTAAAAAGAAATTATTTCAATATAGACCTTTGTATTATCCTCATGACCAAGACATTAATTATGTATGGACTTTTTTTTTTCTTTTTTAAACTAAAAGTTTGCTTAAAAAATGCAGATTCACAGCTGTTTCACAGGAAACATTTGACTTTGGAATAGTGCTGACATATGACTAGACTCCTGATAGCTTAAGAAGGGCAAAGACATTGAGCATGCTTTTTTTTTAGCTCTGCACAGTAACAAACCAGATGATCCAGATGGCAAACATTAGTTGCCAGTTTTCCCAGTATTCCTACCAATTCCCATCAAGTAGCTGGAAATCCCAAGAACCATACTTGTTTCAGAAATATCATCACATTCTGGTGGTTTCTACTGTGTAACGTCACGAGATTTCCACTTCTGTGAAAATACAGCTGTAAGTTTTGGAAACTAGGAAAGTTCAAAATCTTAAAAAAAATAAATTCCTAAAACGTTTTAAAAAAACCCTCCCTACTCAGCTCTGCTACTCAGGTAGACTTTTAAAGATTACATGATTCATGCATTAAATCTCACAGTTCTATCTAGGAACATAAAGCACGTCCATAATTTTTATTTACTAGCACTTACAGATAAACCCAGTTGAAACTGAAATCTTGATTTTGTTCTTACTACACATCAGGTTATCCAAAACATAATTCAACACTATACAATACTCACGTACAGGATGTTAGTGTTACACATCACATAAATTGAAAGGTGGTACCCTTACTGTGAAAGGACAGTTTATTTCTGCCCTTTACATCCCAAAAGATAAAACGGTTGGACATGCAAGTTTATAACACAGGACCGTGGTTCTCACTAGAGCACAAATAAGGTAAGATTATAGTAATTTTCTTCTACTTAATCCCTTCAGGATTACAAAATCATTACCCATAGAAAAAAAGGCAAGCTCAAAAGTTTTTATTTTAACTTTGAGAACATTTCCAGCTTGTTTTGAGCATCTTTCATACTCTGCAAAACATACTTGCTTTTCAAACATCCCTGACATGAAGGCATGCTGTATCTGTTAAGGAGCTCATGCACAGTTTCCTTTTAATAGGGACTTTAGCAGAATGAATGCAGCAGCCACCACACAGCCTGTTACTTGGTTATCGATTTGAGACTCTTACTTACCCCAGCATTCAACAGCGTTGTGACAACATTTTTGCCTGGAAGCCCTTGAATTGTAGTTCCTTTTCCAGTAGTCTTTTGCACAACAATCACATTGGGTTTGGATGTCATTGGAATTGTAGTGATTTTGGTTGTAGTTCCTAAATTTTTGTGGGAAAAGAAATAAGGTGCAATTTATCACATGCACATTTCCTTCCACTGTAAAAGTTGGTGACCTATATAGCAATCATTATACTTAAATCTGACAGCACAACAAAAAAAAAAAAAAAAAAAAAGGGCAGCATCTGGAATGGCAATTTACATCACCCAACTCAACATACAAAGATTAGACACCCACTCTACAAACCTTTCACCTACGGTAAAAATAGGCATGCCCAGGACAGAGTAATTTATTCTATATTAGGACAGTCAGCCCCTTCTCACAAATTACAGAGCAAACTAATACAGCTTTCTCAGGCTAACATGTCTAACTTTTCAAAGGCTAAAATTAGGGGGGGATAAAGACACCACTAATAGTCAACTCAAGGTCCTATTTGCACAGACAAATATTCTTCTACAGATAACTTCTGTAGAAGAATCTACGTACTAAGAACGTATCTCCAGTCAAGAGAAATACCAGCTCTTTCTGGCATTGAACTGTTGTAATACAAGTGACGAGCAGAGTACTGAAAGAAGGAAGGAAAAAAGAAAAACATGCTATTGTTTTACAATCAGTTCTTAAAAGTTGAGAAGTGTGGGTTGTTTGGGTTTTTTCTGAAGAGCTGTGTTGGCTATTTCTGTTCCTCTCCCGGTATTTAATTAGTTCCATTCCCTGTATCAGGTTTTTATTCACCTGCAGTGACAGGTAATTCTGGTCAGCCCTCCGCAGTCTACAAGAGTACATATACTGATATGTAAGTCATCAGTGTTATCAGACTGCCATTTCAATATCTACTCAGACAGCTTTTTATCAATACCTTCCACTTTCTCCTTGAAGAAAGTCCCCCTCAGTCACAGCAGAGCTACAAACCCAAGGATTCCCCTCACTAACTTCTACCTATTAGGCATGCCTGTAGATACTTCACTATGTATTTGACTAATAATTCTACTAATTCTGGGAAAGGGAAGACATGCTGAGACAAGATCATGAATTACTTAACTCTGGTGACTTCAGAGGCATCTAAAAACAGCTCCCTTAGCAAAAACAAACAAATAAAAAAAAGCCCAAACCAACCCCCTAAAAAACCCAACCCCCACATAAAAACCACCACAAACCACCACCACCAACAAAAAGCAGGCATCCTTTCCAAACTTGTGTTGTTTCAGGACAATCATTATTATCCTTATCAGGACCAGCCAAGGGTCTCCCTGCATTAGCTAGTGCTTAGGGGAATACTACTTGCGTTTGTGTATAAACTCACTAGTAGATCTAGAAATCTTCTTAACAACTCATCATACCCATAACAGGCTAAAAAAGTTACTTGTTCCCAAAAAAGCTACTGTATCAGCCCTAAATACCATTTTGTAGAAATCATGATCTGAAAAACTGAGGTACCTCTTACCAGACTATACCCCAGAGCGGGTTTACAGGATAGATTGTGCAGCACCTTCCAGTGACAGGAGCTGGCTGGTGCCATGTCACGTCTTTGCTAAGCACCAGCAATGGGACCTCTGAGTAATTTAAAGATATTACTAGACAATTTAAAGATATTACTAGACAGGATAAACAGACCCAGCAGATCTTGCTGTACATGTGCACCTAGCTAGGAAATGCAGCAGACCTTCTCTGCATTAGCACTGTTTAAGTCCAAAACAGATACTAAGAAATTGTTACTGGTGTGAGTGTGCTTGGTCCTGGTCCTAAAGGGACCCTATGTTTAGAGCTTATACAGGCAGAGAGCACCAAGGCTGGTCAGCAGACTAACAAAGATAAGAGATAAGCAGCAGGGTCTGCATGAGGCTAAGAGGAAAAACTTAAGTAAGAACATGCAGTAAGGGAAAGACAGGCTGACACTGATAAAAGAACAGGATAAGGTGGAGACTGCACAGCTGAATTTAACATACACAGTTCATTTTCATTCTGGTTCTTTGGATGTGCAGTGGAATAGAAAAGGGCAGCATCCAGATTATAAAATGCTTTAAATTGGAGCCAATACAGTTTTCTGATCTTTCTGCCCTCTAACAGAGGCCAATATAGTAGTTCTCCTCCCCCACATTTCTCTTTTCCTCCCAGGCATCCCTCACATTAGATGTTTCCTTCTTAAGCACAAGAACTACTGCAATCCTTAAGAACACCACCTCCATAACTTCTACCCATTACTTCATCCTCAGCTATTTTTCTTCTGAATTAACAACTTCTCCAGTAAAGGTCCTCATAATTATTTGAGCATGTAACCCACAGAAAAGCCCTAAACAATTACAGCAAGTCTAAAATTACTTTTGAAATAAGTCTTAATACCAAAGTACTCATATGCCTACCAGAAACAATATTACTGCTGATAATCTTCCCTCCCAGCGTAGCCAGTGATTTTGGTACTACGGTAATGATGCTACCACTTGTAGTTTTCACATAAGTAGCAGCCCCTGGAGTTCCAGCCATCCGAGCCCCTATAGAGGGGCTAACCGTTGGCCGTGTATATGTTGCTTGAGTTCCTGTTTTAAAGAAAGAACAAGAAAGTTCACTGTTAGAACATGATCCTCTACTAGTATTTGTGGAAAAATAAGTTAGTTTAGAAAAAAAGCACTAGATTTTATTCAAATAGACCCGACACCGCAATTTTTACCACCCTTTACAATGCTCCTAGTACTTGTTAAACCCAGACAGCAATATTCAACTATATATCAACTTTAAATTGATGTAAGAGTCTTCTGAAGTATTTTACCAAATATTCCACAACTGCCATATTTTAACTCATGTGCTTGTATCCAAGATTGTAATTTTCAATAGGTGTTTAGATTCTGCCTGTATGTTTGCCACTTGCTCCCTCAGATGCCCAAGAGTTAGGCATCTGATGACACTACCAGAACTGATCCCTTCCTCTCCTGAAAGACACCTATACTCTCACTTCTCCTATATGACAAATTGTTTATAAAGAACACCACGAATGACTGGTCTAAATATCACTCTAAGAGAAAAAAATATAATTTATAATGAAAATGCGATTTTACAGATTTAGCATTTAGCAGTATAAAAGAAACCTCCCAACAAGGTATAAATGCTGTTTTTTCAGACCTATTCCTTCTCAGAATGGAAACAGAACTGAGTCCACAAAAGAAAGTTGCTCAAAATAATAATGAGTCAACAGGAACATTGTAATTCCATTCTGCTTGTACTGCTGCACTAGTGCACTACAGACCTTAATTGGTAAAGATCACAGAGCAAAACAGTTTGTTACAACAAGAAAGCCATGTGTTCAAATCCAAGAAAGCACAATACAGGTTTTACCAATTAAATGAACTGCAAAACTGCTAGTTTGGTGGTTTTTTTAAAATGTTCTTAAGAATGTTTTTATGAAGTACTCCTAACCCATGCTAAAAATTCAGGAAGTTAGTTAATTATAGAGTTTTCTGAAAACTAGAATAAAGTCGCCTTTCAAGTTTTCCTCGTGCAAGTTTACAATCTGAGCGGTCTCCATTATTACTGATCTTTAACCAGTAAGAAAACACAAATACAACTAGATCCCCAGAAAAACACTGGGAGTTTAAAATTCAATTTACTGGCTTTTTTATAAATTCACTGCAGGACTATGAGCAAGTCACCTGTCTTTTAAAGTCCATATACGTAAAATAGGAATGATGCTGATCTATCTGCTTGAGGTACCTAAAAAGTTAATTAATGTAAATTGTCTAATGTAAGGTGCTACAAAAGTGCAAAGTATCAGTGTAAGTTGCAAGAAAATCTCCTTTAAAATATACCCAGTGAGGAAGGAACGATCATATTTTTGTGTACCAATTCAAAAAGACCATAACAGGAATAAAAGAGCACTCAGTGCAAAAATCCTAATCTAGAATAAGTATCAACAGGACTGTGAATGTGCTGTTGTGCTCACTGTTCACAAGGGAGAAGTGCTTTTTTTTTTTTTTTTATCCTAATAAACCACATTTGATCAGCTGTATGTCTGGGTTTACCCTCCCTTCCCTTCTCAGAGCCATAACTTACCAGTGGGAGTAGTGACCAGTTTAGTTGTCATGATAGTCCCATTACTGCTAACCACCATAATAGGTGAATTGCTACTGCTGGGCAAGGCCGCTGTAACTGGTTTGGGAAGGATTTTACTGGGCTGCACCTGTTGAGTGATTATTTTAACACCTAGGAAAGGAGAAAGGTCACTGTTAAAATACAGGCACGAAAAGTTACTTTCTGAAATGCTTTCTCAGACCGAGCCCTAGTGGGCAAGTAGCCTCACAAGGCTTCTATTCTGAGCCCATGTATTCTTGATCCTGAAAAATATTTGGTTTTTTCTTTGGTTTGTTTTTTTTGCTTGGGTTTTTTTTGTTTATTTTGCAAATAACAAGACAGTCATCATCTTTGCCTTTCATGTGCCTGTTTCAGTTCCTAGCTACTCCCACTGAGGCATGGGATTCCATTCCATCATTGATTTGCTGTAGTGATTTTTAACCTTTTCTGGTCCATGATTCAAAAAGTAGAACATTTCCCAGGAACCAACAGGTTACAACCAATACTGAATTGGTTCATATACAATGAACCATCTAAAAGTGAAATAGCTCTTCATCAATTTAGTCTGTAAATTCTAATGTGTCTTAATTAGCCTGGTTGAATTTCATCCCTCTGGATTAATTAAAAAAAGCTTTCTGCACAAAAAGCACTAGTGGCCGTAGGGAAGCAACTGTGACACTGGCTAGGGAAGGCTGCTTTAAGTAAACTGCTCGCTCTCCTCTCGGTTTATTGGTTATCTTGAAGCCACAAACAAATTGGGCTGAAACAAGCTCTGAGCCGAATCAGCAAGAACAAAGGATGAGGACACCTTAGTATAGCAAGGATTCTGCTCCCTCTCTCTCAACTGTGTAGTGGAATGGGACTTCTGCATGCTTCACTTCTCAGTTGGAAACCAGGAGATTCATGTCATCTGTTCAAAAGTATATCCAGGACACTTGCATCTTATGTTCTGTTCCATGACGAGGTAAGTGTATTGCATTGTGTAGGTCAAATGCCATGAAACACCCAGCCTGAATTAATCCCATCTAAATGTAGGCACTTACATTTGTACAGAAATATTTCTAGGTGAACAATTTTGTCCACCTGGGATGTGAAACATCCTCTGGAGATGTTTTCTTCTTTCTACTTCGACTATAAAAGCCATACAGAGCAAGTAAGCTCCAAACTTAAATAACGAAGTTAGGAAAGAGAAATTGAAGCCTTTGCATCATCCAGACACAAAACCAGATAAAAAGCAAAGTCTCTTTGAAAATTGATTCACATCTTCCAGAAAGAATAGGTATCAGATGGTATTTCCAAAGAAATTTCAACTAAAAAGCACACTGAACCTAAACCCATGGTAGAAGGCAAGGAGTGAAGCTCTTATTGATCAAATATCGTTCAATGACCGGAGGATGGAGGCCTCTTATCTGTCTTCATTAGTAATTTTTTCTTAGGCAATGGTCCTATAATCCAAAAGGAAGTTTATCAACAGACAGGAATAGAGCTGTTTATTTTTTAATTCTATGGACTATTTTAATTCTTTGATCTAAATAGTATGAATTTAAAATAATAATTTTACTGACTTGATTAATATGAAATAGGGACATAAAAATACTTTGCACTTTTATAGCACTTCTTCGTTTAGAATTAGATAACTTTGCAAGCAGTACTTCTTACTGCATCTTATGGAGATAAGGACTATATTCTACTGCAGAGTAAAGCCAAGATAGAAAGATTACATGACTTGCCCAAAGTCAACTGAATGAGTCAGTGTTCCAAAAAGAATCGAGTCCAACTTCCAGTCTCAGATCTAATTGTATTTGTTTTGACAAGTACCTCAAAAGCAGGTTTTGATTTCTGGACCCAAGAAAAGAATTAAAACATGGATTAACTTCTTTTTGCAGTTGATACAGTTGAACAGCTCTCGGATCTTCAGAAAACTGGTGTCTTCCAGGTTGCCAATCACGTGACATTTGAAGATATTTACATACCTTTCAATCTCTAAAGATAAAACATTTACTCCTAAAGCATGGTCTGCAATACCTGAACCAAACAAGAAGAGTGACAGAACCAAATTCTTCAATTAATTTTAGCTGAAAACATTAAGACATCCTTCACTATCTACTTATAGCCAGGTTTAATGCCAAATCCTGTACTCAAGTAATTACACCTTAATGATAGCTCCCCATGCACATTTTGGGACAGCATTCTGCCCTACTTTCTTGAGTTGTGGTTAGACCTCACCAATCAGCAATAGGACCCAAGATTAACTCCAACTACCTGATTCCTGTTTGATCTGAATGGTGGGCTTGATGCCAGGTGGCAACTGAGATTGCTGTGGCTGCTGTTGAGCTACAGAAGACTGCACCAGCTGTTGTTGCTGCTGCTGCTGTTGCTGCTGTTGTTGTTGCGGTTGCTGTGGCTGGGCCTGTTGTATTTGGTGCAGCTGCTGTTTAGGGGACTGCTGATGCTGTTTGGGAAACTGTGCTAAGATCTGAGTTGGGTTCCCAACCAAACCTTTTGGGGAAGGTAGTCTGGTAGAGGCAACTTTAATTGCCGATGTAGACACACCTGTGAAAGAGTAAATGGTTTAAAGTTGAACAGTACAACAGAAAAGAAAAATATTACAAATTCTAAAATAATTTTATATTTAAACTATTTTTACTACTGAAAAATGCATAGATATACATGAGGAAAAAAAGCTCCCCCAGAGCAGAAGTGCTCTGTTCAGAGGCGAAGGACCTTATAACAGATTTTCTATGTGGCAGAAGAACAGCAGCTAATGGAAAGAAGACCACAACCCCAGTCCACTTTCTGTACCTCTTGTAGTACAAATAATTTACACATATTTTCAAAGTCTGATCTTTAAGCTGCAAGAAAGCAAAATATTTATAGTGAAAATCATGACTACAAAAAAAGTTAAGGGTATGAGAACGACAAATATCAAACCCATCAATATTAGGACAGAGTATCAGAGAGTGCAACATTATTTTAAAGGAATGAATCAAGTAATGGTATGTAATTTAGAAAACTGTGGAACACGCTTTTTTTTTGTGTGCTGATAGGTTAGGTGATCTTACAAGTAAAAGTGATTAAAATATAAGTTTGCAGTAAGATGGAAAGTTCCCAAATAAATCTTAAGTACTTATTTCTGTCATTTCCTTACATAGTTGTCACAGCATTTCCAGTGAAATTTGGCTTCATCTGTAATTCTAAACTGCATATCCATAAGCACCAAAAGCCCAAACAGAAAGTCCATGTCTTATGAAGGCATTTTTTAACCAAGTCCCAGTTGTAGTAGAAAATAGAAAGAAAATCTCCTCTCTTATTTCTCTACATTTACAGATGGCAGTGATAATGATAGAAATCACAATAAACTACAAGCCTGGCAAACTAAATAAGCAACGCTTTTCTCACTGCATCATCTAAGATGGTTTCTCTGTTTTCTTGGTCAGCTGTTTGCATTCATGAATTTAACTTTCTTCACATTTGGAGCGATTTTCAGTTTATGTCACATAACGTTTCACCAGCATCTTCTGCAATGACAGTTACAGCCTTGAAAAAAACTATTAGAGATATTCCACCTAACATATTTTAGAATTATAGCCTCTTCCATGATCAAACCCAACCAGAAGTCCACAGTTCAAACAATATGAAATTCTGCTGTAAGCCCTTGTGCTCTGTGTATTACTATCTTCAGGACCTGATTAACAGAAGCAATATGGAAGGCAAAATACCTCCTCAGTCTTGATTTGGTTGCTCAACTTTTTATGGAATGGAACAAGAATGGAAAATATGGACCAGGAAAAATTGCAATGTGACATTTGTCATTGTCAGGCAGAGTATTTTTCAAGTGCTGGTCACTGAGGCCCTTTCATTCATCCACAGCTTCCCTTCCAAATGTTAGCTAGTGGCCATGGAGCTGAAACAGTCAAGCTAGCACACATAGTTGGAATTAGAAATCAGAAATGTAGGAATTTTAATCCAGGCCCACTCAGGTCTTAATTTTTATGGACTTGAAAGCTGACATGCTGATAAAATACACAGATAAAAAGGTATAAACACTTCTCTACCTTTCAGAATTGTCAGTAAGATTAGTTACCACAAGAAATATTCTAAAGACTGGGCATGTCAAGTATAGATTGTATCTACTTGATGTTAACTTTGCATGTTTCTGTAAATCAGGCTTTAAGAGAAGCAATCACCTTCAAATATTGGAAACATCCATTTTCCATGCATCAGATAAGAGTTCTTAAAGCTACAGTGTTTTAATGCTGCAAGTAGAATCTTTTCAAAATAAAAAAAGCTATGCCACACCATCTCACCACATTCTCTTTAAAAAGAGGATCTGCACATGAATTGTTGAAGTAAAGAGGGAAAGAGTTCAACAAGAACTTTTGTGGAATATCTTGGATTAGTTTCATCAGTAGATTACTTCCACGCCTCCTGTGCTTCATTCATCATATGTAAACACAAAGTGCATCTCCCCTATGTTGTTCTCAAAACAAAGTCCAATTAATCAGTGAAAGAGCTTTTATAAATATGTTATTGCCATACCTTGTGCTACTGTTGACATAACCACTGACGGTGTTGATGATACTACAGCAGTCACAGCAATAGTATTTGCAGTACAGGAGGGAGTAGAACAGCTACTGCTGCTGCTGCTGCTACTGACCAAAGAGGACTGAGAAGCAGTTATAACCACTGGTTGCTTTTGAGTAGTTGAGGCAATGACTGATGTTGGGACAAGTTTCGTAACTGCTGCATAGTTGTGGGACTTTGAAAGGATGTTGGGTACAAAAGTTGAGCTTGGAGAGGTGGTTACTATTATCACCTGAAAGAAGAAAAAGAACAACAAGAAATTCATTTGTTCTTTGCATTTATTTAAGAGCATAATATTTCAGTAATACATCTGCCTATGTGTATTTAGTTTTAGGGATACATGTTTATTAAGACCATTTAAGACTGTTGTAATTACATTTGCTGGCAACAAAAAAATTCTATTAGTTTGAAGAAGTGGTGATAAACATTTCCTTAAAATTAGAAGGTTTGGTTTTTTTTTTTGAGAAAAACAATTACTCTCTAATTAAAGTAGAATTATCTCATGTCTGAAGACAAACAGATAGGAATAAGCTGTTTGGCTTCATTAAACTGGGCCAGGAAGTCTGAAGCCCATTTGAAACGGAACTGAAGGGATTTCCAGCAGGTTTTAAACACTATTCTCCCAAACTTTGCACATACATCAAGAAAGGGCAATGAGAGAACAGATGATTTTTTTTTTCTCTTTAACAATTAACAAGCAGTTGCTGAGTCAGTAATAGGAAATATTTTTGATCCACAAGGCTGTAAACAATCAATATTTCATCAGTGAAAAAAACTGGTTTAGCTTTGAAACAATTTCTGCTTTAATTAGTGCTCTCAATAGCAAGAAATTCTCTCTTATCTGTCTGAAAACCATTTGTCTGAAGACAATAAACATTACCCCTAGTGCGAGTTACAATTACAACGCCATGAATCTGATCTGACATAGAAAAACATAGACTTCATTAGAACATTGGAAGAGGTCTGTTCTTATGCAACTGACCTAGAAAACTAAGCATTTCTTCAGTATCGAGTATGGGACTGTTTACGTAAAGAGATTCCTTTTATTCTGCTTATATGTATCTCCTTGTACTTACACACAGTTAAAATAGAAACACACAGCACAGAAATACAACATATTTTCAGTTTACCATGCAAGAATATTGGGTTTTAATAATGCAACTGTCCCAATAAAAAATTTACTAAAACCTTTAAAAGTAAAACTTATTAATGATTTGATGTAACAAATGCAAATAGAAAAAAAAAGGTACAGAAGGAGTAAAGAAAACCTGGGTCAGCTCAAACTAAAAGTCTTACGCTACTACCCAAGGAATACTGAAACCTTGCCTGATAGAGAAAAGAAATAGTATGATAATGGCACCAGAAATAGACTTAAGTGACACATCAAGCAGTAGGAGATTAAGAGTTTATAATTTGTTTGTTTTTTTTTTTTAAAAAATAAATAAAAAAAGGAGATAACTATATGGATGGAATAAAAGCAGCAAATTTCACCACCATGGCTGCCTCTGCCTCTCCTTGTGCCCCAGTTTTATGGTCCCTGCTACTTATCTAAGCCTTTAATATCTTGATCTGAGGAAAACCAAAACCTCACTACCTCCACGAGCTACAGCAGGTTGACCATAACTGACTAATGCCTGAAGAACAAGGTGTCCACGTCTGCTGCTCTACCACTTTAATGCATTCTCCAGGGAGAACGTTTTCTCTGCATCACTCTTATTTTTGCCTTCTGCCTAAACTTGATTTAATCAAAAAAACCCTTCTGAAATTGCTCTTAGGCTACAACCATGCAGACAAGTTGAACACGACACAGCTTGATTCTGGTACGAGGCTTGCAGGTGAAAAGATCCTACAGTATGCCTCTGGAGTTTTAACGCGTTTCTTAAATAGTCAGTTAACACTAGAAATACTTCCCAAGTGTTTCAATTTTAGGGCCAGCTCCATTCCACCTAAGATAACTAATTTAGGAATACAGTCAAAGAACAACTTGCAGTTAAAAAAGGCAGATTATCACATTAAACTTCCTGTATAATCCGTAGTGCAACAGTGCAAGTTCAGCATCTCAACTAAGTAAGTATGTAGGATGAATCTGGGCGTAATCACAACTCCTGAAGACCATTGCTCTTCATTCAAAGACAGAGTTAAAACCATCGGTCCAAGATTATCACTTAAGAACACTTTATTTAATCATGCAAGGATAAAAAGCTTGTAAAGCATTATAGTTCAACAATGATGGCTGTCCTGTGACTAAGCAGGTTTGGGTCTCTTTATTTCTTCTTTCAAAATTAACACAGCAGAACAAAGTTTAGTGATCTTCATATAAGAAGTATATCCAAAAAACAGATTTTTCAGGTAAAAATTTAAAAGTATAAAGCTGAAATCACAACAATTATATTTTTGAGATACTATTTTCTCACATGTCAAAATGATCAAAGTAACCTCATCATGTACCAAAACTGCATCACATCAGTTACAGCAGAAAGACTGCGTGATTTTTTAAAAAAAAAAAAAAAAAAAAAAAAAAAAAGGCAAGTTGCTTTTTGTTGTTGTTGATTTTAATTGTTATGGTAAAAATGAATTCCTAACATACACTGAAATTAGTCCTGTCAGCTCTATTTTGAGAGACATCAAAACCTAGTCTCTGAAGAAATAAAGGCATTAACTGCCAGAAGCTTCACTAGCTAGATTCCTTCTGTGTCCTAGACAGAGGACTTCATTATAAAAGAATCCAGAAATTGGAGCTGTGACATTATTAGTTGTTACGACAAATCTTCCTCCAACCTACTAAAATGTCAAAACAATTCAGAAAGCTGGCATGCAGAAACGAAGAATTTCATTCATATCCAACAACTTCACTCCTATCCAACAGCACTTGTTTAAAAGAGTACATTTCCAATCTGAGTGTAACAAATCTGACATTTAAATTAAAACTATTATAAAGGGTTTCTCCCACCAAAATGATCCAGTTACGTATTTTGGCATATCTAAATCCAACAGAAGAGGGCAGTGTGACAAGCTCAGATGCAAACCCTACTATGGCTCCCTAATGATACAAGTGATGATTTTCCTATCATTGCAGATTAGTAAGAGTGTCAAATAACACTATGCAAAGCAAACCCTAAAATTCTCCATGTCAGAACAAGCAGAGGCACAACTGCAGAAAAGACCCTATCAACAGTCCATTCTCTTCCTTTTGGAGATTTAACTACCATGATACATAACACTGAATACAACACTACAGACATTTAAGGCAAAAAATTCTTCCTGCACAAAAGATGAGCCTAACAAGAGCAACAGAATGGGTAGGTTAAGCCCTATACTAGCTGTGGATTTGCAGCATAGAATGCAGGACATTTCATCTGATGGTTTATGCTCACTCACGAACTTCTACACATATATTCAGATATGAAATTTGATTAAGGACACTGTTAAAGAACAGTGAATCAAATAAAAGCATCACAGAGCTCTGAAGTGGGAAAAGGCCAGAAAGCAAGATCTTTATTGCACATTACTTCAGTTAATCTTCCTTGGTTTTAAAGTTTCCAAAAATCAGGACATGGGAACTCTGCTAATCCAAATAGAGTCATAAAACAATTAAGACGACTAATAGAACAAATATCATGTGAAAGTTTGAGCTCAATAGTCAAGCTCTCACAGTTGGAAAAAAAATGCTTGTTAGTAGCCAGCCTACCATCAGTTTGTTGGTATCAAGGCCAAATTAATTCCACAGACCACCCCCCCCAAGTCTGCCTCAGTTAATAACCACACCAAGAACAAACTTGGTCTGAGTCATTAATCTTTTTTTAAATCTTAAAAGTGGACACATCTGAAATGCTTCCTAAAGCATGGGAAAATAGTCATGCCACAGATTAGGCATGTAAAAATCCTGAGTCCAATACAAAATTTCAACACGGAAAACCTCTTCCCACACACTGCATTCTGGTGGGCACACTCAGCTGAAATAACGCAACTGATTTTGACCACTATAACACTGTTAATGTGGAATGAGAAATGGCACACTAGTACTGAAAGGAAAATAAAGCCCCCCAAGTCTTTGATCAGCTCCAAGAATAAGCTTTATAGACCCCAAAAAACTAGTCTCTAGACAAAAGGCTTGGCAAGGGAAAGCCCATGCCACCTCTCCTGGAATTTGACTACTGCAAAGAATAATTATAAATAAGGAAAATAGAAATAAGAAAGATTACCTTTGACCAATAGTTGTTACCATCTGAAGGCTGTTCAGTGGCCTATGTGATCCAGTTCTCAGTGGACTAGTGTCCATATCACAAAACCCAACACCACAAATGGTACTAACTGGCAACCTTGTTGGCAGTCTCACCAGAGAGGCCAAGAATTGAATGAGCATGGAGACTGAATCCCCTCTCATCCCTAGAAGTGGTCCCTTCAGGTCAGGGTTGAGGCACATTGGTGGGGCAGTCTGGGGGAAGCTTGCACTCCCGCTGCCTGTGCTGTACCTGTTCTGTGGATAAAAAGAGGGCTTCAGTCTCCACGGCTGTCAATCCAGGTCCTTTCACACACAGGTGAACTAAATTCATACAAGAGTTTGGTTTTCTCTTTGTTCGTTTTAAAGAGGGATTACCTTATCCCAATGCAATCCTTAAAAAACAGCTAGACAGTTCATAGAAAGGAAGAGTCAAACATCACATCTTATTCATTGATAAAACCAGAATAAAGTAACATTTGGCAGCTTCCCCCACATACCTTCTGTGTTGTCGTGTTTGTTGTCTGTGTTGAGGGCTTAGTGAAGGTTATTTTCACAGGCGACATGTGTGGTGGTAAGGAGTTGGCAATGCTCTGCATTATATTACTCATCTTGGGGCTGCCACTTACAGGCACTGTGATAGTTTTAGTGACAGGAGTCACTGCCTTCGGGACTTCTTTCAGGAGAACAGGGGAAGAACTAGAAGAATTCGTTCGCCGTCTTTTGCGGGGCTTTTCATCATCATCTGAGCAGCTGACACCTGGAAAAGAAGTACTTTTTCTCAATTGTATTTTCCCCATCTGCAGCTCTTGGTGCTTTCTAAAACACTACAAACTTGCTGAGTCTTATACCCACTTTCGAAGAAGACAGAAAGAAAATAGAGGATAAATTACACCTTATGGTCACAAATAACCTGTATCACACCACAGATGGTCTTAGTCCTTGATATAGACCACGCTTAAAGTGCCATAAAGCAAAGAAACCCCCCAAACCCCAAGCTACTCAGTTACTCCGTTACTTCAGTTTAAGAGGTTAAAAGAACATAAGAGCCAGCACAGGGATTTCATTTGGTCTCCAGAAGTTTGACTAATGAGACTATGGACACAAAGGGTTTGGGATAGCATTGTGCACATTTCAGTTTAAAACTTTACACTACATTACTGTTGTTGTTGCTGGTTTTGTTTACAGCAACTGGACTACTGAAGTTTACCTTCCTGCAGTCTTCTCCGATTTCAACCTTTGTACCTACTTTCATCCCAGGCTTATCATTACAGTACCCTTCTCCCTTTCACCTCAAAACAGCATCTTGAGATCCCTTTTTTTTTTTTTTAATTACATAGTTTAAGTATGAAGGTCACACCTCACTTTATGAGCTTCTGCCTTGTTTGGTGCGTTTTGTGCAACAGATATAAAATGGCACCTAACACTCAATCATGAAAAACAACAGAAATCTGGCCTCAAGTGTGTTCATTTTCCTCACAATCACCTACTGCACATGAGGAAAAAGGTTTGCTGCAATATTCAGCTGAGCAATGGATAACCCTTTCTGCAGTGTGATCAACAGATCTTAAATCCATGTGAAACTCTCCTAAGTAGGCAAAAGGTTCATAAATTGGTATACACTACAGAAAGACACAGTTTGATTACCTTGAAAATCTTTTACAGCTACTGGGTAGCATTTATGTTTACCAAATTAACCAGTGTTAAACAACTGAAAAAACAGAGATATGCAGAAAATACACAATTGCCCTACACAGAACAAGACTGAAGATGTTGTTCTGTATGCCTGGGGCTTATAGACAAAAAATGCTGTCACGGTAAAAAGCGGTCTTGCTGGTAACCCAAGCAAACGTGGTTGGCAGTCAATCTCTAATTAGGGTCAAGATCTAATTATGGTCAATCTCTAACTAAAATAACTAAATATTCTGGCATTTGAAAAGTGAAGACACAGGAATTAACATGGACAAGAAAGTGCCCACTAGCACAGCAAGTGATTTCTGAAAAATGGGATCTTCTCTTAGTATGAGTACCAGCTCATTTGCAGGTATGCTTCAGAAGGCTGACAGTTGTATCCACACAATGATGGGAAACTGAACTAGAGAAGAGAAGCAAAGGTTCTATTTTAAGTTTGCTTTGAACTCCAAAACATAGTTTTAGCTGGCTGTAGCAGTACAGATGAAGCATGGATCTATGAGCCCAGATTTCAAAGCTCTAATCAACTATTTACTTTATGGTTCTGAGCAAGCCCAGCAGCGATTTCCATCTATAAAGAAGAGATTTGGTTACACGACTCTGAAGTCTCTTATGAACAGGCTTTTAAGTATTGCTGTGAGTGCGCTACATAAACTTACAACTGTGAGGTCACTAATCACACTGAAAACGTGCAGGAATTTCAGAATCTCAGAATCCATCTGAATCAAAAATCCACATGCAGCTAGGATGTTAGAATACAGCTGTTATTTTGGTGGGTCACCAAGAAATACTGAAGGTAAAGCTATTTGTTCATGGTCCTCATCCACGCAAAAAAACCCCAACCACAACACGGAAGAAATAAAGTAAAAATTGAACTAGCAGAACATTATTTTATGTCAAGCACTGCTCATTTCATCTCCTGTTTTCACTGCTGGGGTTCTTTAAGAACATTATTCCTACAATTTCATGTTAGAAACTGCATTTGCACAAAGTTTTCCACAAGCATTAAGCTAAAAGGTAATACAGCTCGACTATAACTCACACTTGACAAGCAAGGAAGCAGAGGCACGGAGAGGTTAATGGCTCAATCAGACTGTGACTTGGATGAGGTCACACAACAAATCAGTGGCGAAGTCATGACTGTATCTCAGGCCTCCTGAGTTTGCTCTTAACCAAGTTTGTTAAAACTAATGTGACTCATTAACACGTTCTGAAAAACACACAATTCCTTAAAAAACAAACAAACAAAAAAAACAAAACCAAAACCAAAAAAAACCCTAAAACCCCAAATGAAGCATGCAAAGTGGGGAAAAAAATTAAATCTAGGGATGGATGGAATAAAAATGAGGACCTTTCATCCCTCTATCATGTGTCTAGACTGCTTTTATACTCATTACCATGTAATAATTCAATAGAGGTCTAAATTAAATTTTTAAGAGGTTAAGAACATTTTCCCCTGAATCTTTAAACTAAAGCTGAGTGATCAGTGCATTAAATCAGAAAAATGAAAAAATCTTAATGTAATGGTTCTGTGGGTTGATATAGCCATTGAACATGGTGGTTTGCAAGTAACATTATATTTATGTACAATGTGACATTTCTGACTAGATAGAAGTTTATACAAACATGCATATATAGCACAAAGTTTAAAATATTTTTTAAATATTAAAGGTATCCACAGCAAGCATCAAAATAGCACTTATCAGCTCACTATTAATCTTTATTTGTCACCTGCATTTTGATAGACACCAAATCAGTACAGAAGGAACCATTTTTAATTATTAGTTAAATAAAACTACCTTTGATGAGCTGGGCATATGTATGAGGACATATCCTGCTTTTAGAACTAGCTGATTTATTAGCCAAAGAAAGAAGGTGGGTGCGGGGGACAAGAAAAAAGACTGTTTCTAGACATTATGCCCTGGATTTCCAAACTTAAATACAGGAAGATGGGTATCTGGTGGGAGTTCGTATGGAGTTTTCACAGTTGCCCTGGAATGCAAGCCTCACTAAGATTTGCTTCCAAATAAATCACAGAATGCCCAGACATAGTTAATGTAAGCATATAAATGCTTGCCAAAGTACTGCATTCTAAAAAAAGTCTAGGTCAACTGTGAAAGTGGAAAGGAGGGACCTTTTCTAACTCAAATAAGTGAGCACTTTGCATTATTTAAGCAGAAGGAAGAGGGAAGTCCTCTGCAGAAGCAACCAGCAGAGCCACCCTGAAGACAAATTCTGAACAAGTGGGATTAGAAATCCACTGATAGACAGCAATTCCTATATTTTATTTTCAAAATACTTTTCATTCTTGTTGTCCTTGCCATCACTGCTCCCTGCAGCATTTTACAGTGAGTGGATTTATCCTGAACACAATTTCTCTGAAAAAGGGAAGCAATAAATTCATTCTTTAGACTAAACAAAGGCATAAAGGCATTAAATGACTTGCCCAAGGTCAGAGTGTTTAACTCAGCCCATGCTTCAGCCACAAGACTGTCCCTTTCTTTCCCTTTTGTTAATCAGTTGCTAGTATCACTTACTTTTGACGTAAACAGTACTTCCACTTGGCAAGACGACTACATTGGAGGCTGGACTGGCGGGTCTGGGGGACTTCACTGTTGCTACACTGCCACTTGGAACAGGGGTAGATGTTGGGGTTGAAGTGGTACTTGTGTAGGAATAGCAAACCACCACTGAAGAGGAGAAAAGACACCTTCCATATAACTGAAGTGCAGAATCCCATTATTCTATCACTATTTTAACAATTGAAATGGAAGCCAAAGACTTATTGGGTCATTATCCACATCTTTGCCTCTGCAATCCTGTTACTGTTGAATACTCCCCAGGTTTGACCTAAGCATGGCCATGGAATTAACGGCCTTCAAACACAACATAGAAATCTAACCTCCCCTCCTCCCGTCCCCAGAAATCTGTGCTGCCAATTCTAGATTTTTTATTCATACTAATCTGATGTTTTACTTTACAACTTGTTGTTTTCCATTTTAGCATTAATTCAGTATTTCAGTCTTTTTGCTTTTCTGTAAATGACCATATCTAGACCGGTAACCAAGAGAAAATAGTTAATGCCTCTCCTCAACAGTACATCGGTCGAAGAAACCAAACTATTCCTACAGTAAGGAACAACTGGTTTTGCTAATCAGCTTTTTTAAACTGTCATTTATAAATAATAGTACAATGATCCAGTATTTCTCACAAAACCAGAATAAAACAGCCTGTTTCAAGAAGTGTTACACATTCTCCACCTGCATGAAGCATAATTTGAGCCTATTCGGCCAAGCTAGATGGAATGTGTACTAGTATTATTTCAAAGGCATAGGGAAAACAGAAAGCAATTGTTTAACTTGTTAACCTGGTATGTTTAATCTGAAGTTAAAAAAAAAAAAAAAAAAGGAAAACCAACAGAATTTTCTTAACTTTCACCAAAACCTACTTACATTCTTAAAATAAAGTGTTCCGAAACATCTTTCATCACTTACAGAACTTTACACAATCTTAAGCCTTCAGTCCAAGTTTTTATAGTTTACAGAGTTTAACAAGTTAACCAGTGAATTTCCCTGTCATTTCCTGGCAGCTTGGTTTTTTGTGGGTTTTTTTTTTTTTTAATTTCAGTTGCTAGTGTGCTCACTAACACAAAGCTGCCAGATTTATGCTGTGGATACTGCAAAGGCATCTTTAAAAAAAAATTAAAAAATATTTCTATGAATACTGTTCAGTAAGAAAGATTCAGTTTGGTTTTTTTTTTAAATATCTAACACTTGACATCTAAGATAATAATTTATACTATGACATTATTTTTATATTCCCACAGATTGCAGAAGAATCCTGGCTTTCTCTCACCTTCTTTGTTTCCAGTTTCTGCAGGAACTGGAAGAGATGCGTTGTGCTGAACAGCTGCATTGGCAACAGCATTAGCGGTAACAGTAAAAGCTGTTTGTGGAACAAGCCGTGGCATCAGTGGCACCAGTCGACGACCTTCTATAGACCATTCGGAAGAGCTATTTGGTCCAGACATACTAAACAGAAATGCACATTCTGTAAGTATTCTACTGAGTTTCCAAAATACTCAGTACTCATTAAGTGTCTTTTTTCAACAGTGAAAGTCTAAGAGGCAGTTTCTAAAGTCATACTAGAGCAATAATGTTCAACTTTCTTCATTTCATGAAAGCCCTTCCATTTTTCCCACCTGATGTAGAAATCCTCCCATAGAAAATTTAAGAGCTGCTGCTTCTTTTACTGTTTTGTTTTACAGAGCCCTTAAAAGGCCAGAGGTGTGTGGATGTCATACTCAAAACTCCCATATTAGATTAGCTACTATTCACGTAGAATTGGTACACTCTCTACTTCTGGATGACAGAAGTACCTACCCAAGACTACTGAAATTGATTACGTTACAGGGAAAAACCCTCAGCTACCAACATAAATCTTGTTTTACCTGAACAGAAGTGCTTCTCAGACTTATTAAAGTAGTCCCAAACAAGGTAACAGAACTTGAAATGATTTAAATAGACCCTGAGCATCCTCCTCAACAGAAAACAGCCTGCTGCTCTAATTTTCTCTTTAGTACTTACACACAAACTGGAACGTTTCCAAAAAATGCTGTGCTTATCTAGATGGAGAAGTGTTTCTGTTTGACTGTTTTACATGAGTCATTTGTCAAATCAGCAAAACCAAAATGGCAAATTATTTTTCAAACCTGTTATGTTCTTAAGCAAATCAACCTATTTAATGTATTAATATATTCTGAAAAACAACTTCTCACGTGAACTATTGCAAGCAAGTTGCAGTAAAAGCTACCACAAATTAGTTTGTAAAATACAGAGGATCTGCTCTGTTGTTAAATCCTGATATGCTTCAGCATTCTTCATACATATTCATATAGTGTAAGCAGAGCTACATCAGCTAAGGTAAAAACATTTTTAAAATAAAAAACAAGACTACAAATGTTGCATATAGCAAAGCTAGCAAAGTTGGCTTTCCTAAAGAGTTAAGAGAATTATTTAAGTCAAATACTGTATTACCATCACTTACAAAGAATTACCACAGAAAAAATAAAGAGATGCAGCACTTCACAGTTGCACCTTGTCTGGATTATAGTATCTCATCCAGCTGAAGTTCAACACTTCAGGACAAACTTTATGCTTGTTCTGTAAAATGCTAAAACCAGAACTACTACTTAAAAAGGAAACTTGATTCAAGAAAAGAATCCTGATTTGACAATTAAATGTTAAATTATTTTTCATTATCCCCCCCCCCCTTTCTTTAAAGGCGTGTAAGGAAGTTGGTGGTTTTTCTTTGGTAAACAGCGTATTTCTAACTCTTTAAACTTGAACATTAAAACACTAAAATGTTAAATGCCCTTCTGCAGCACTAAAACAGTATGCTGATTTTGGCAAGTCTTGGATCAGACAATTACTAGCTCCGAGTGGCCTGCTATTTGTACGATTTCCTTTTTTTCCTCCCCGTAACACCTCAGCTACAATAGTCAAACTTAAAAATCAGTGGTTGTAACACAGAAAAAAAATACAGCCACTTACAATCCAGCTCTGTTTAAAGACAGTTCTTAATCGTAAGACTGTTAAGTAACTATCAAAGATACGTAAGCACTTGCCCTCTTGCTCCTCTCCTCCACCTCTCAAAATCATGTGGAGCTTGAGAAAGCAAATGCAAGGAGGAACCAGCCCAGTTGATGCCAGCACAGCAGCTGCATCAAGCAGAGAACAGTGGACACTGATGTCATCAGTTAGCTTGCTGCAGTTTTTTTTTTTACCCTGACCATTTTTTCCTCCCTCTGTGCTGATACACTGTTTTCCACTAATGTCTGCCACCTCTCTTTCCCTCCCTTTGTCTTTCTATGTAGTTAAGTCCCTCTTAATACAACCTTTCCAAACAGATTTAAATAAAATTAAAGCTAAAATAAAAAATAATAAAGGAAACATGTTCATCCTACTTATGGATTTCTCTGTTTTCTCCACTTTCTGTTTCTTCTGGTCTGTCTTACAGACAGCTCTTCATGATGAAAGACTGTTTATTATATATTGTACTTGTACAGCGAATGGGATGCCTTCAGATACAAAATGCAACAGGACTAAATAACCATTTCTAGCTCCCTGATGTGAATCTGACACAGTAATTCCTTCATCCATACACTGTTTTAACTACTGTTCTTTAAACCACCATCAATCTTCAAAGTTCTATCATTCAGTTAAGGCATAATGGATTTTCCAAAGGGTACCTTTGGAAATCACATAGAAAATGACCTGTAACTTACTTGTGTGCAATAGTCGTTAGTCGTTCATCATTTACTGCTCTCCGAACTTCAGCACGATGTCGCTCCGTTGAAATACTATTAAAAAAAACAGCAATACATTTTAGTCAGAGGGAGACATGAACATTTATCTAAAACTTCCAGCTAAAATTAAACTTATGAATAATCTACTCAAGAGATGAACGGGAACAGGCATTTACATTTAAGAGATTGTCACTTAACTTTTGCTATCACAGTGAGAAAGAATGAATGTATTATTGTTCAAAAATATTACCGAAGAATAAAAAGAACATTACTGTTCATAGGATACCCCTGCAAAACAGCTAGAATGCAACCTCCCAGTGAGAGCAATAAATTTAAAGCATATGGTAGAAAAATTTGCACAGAACATGCAGCGTTCTTTCTTGATGTAACTTGGGCCCAAAGACCTTGAAGTCCTACCTTGATGGAACTCCAAGCTAGCGCACACTCATGAGCTAGCTGTAATCCTTTTAACATTCAGTATCCCACAAAACACCACCAAAACAGTAAGGCTTCAGCCACAGAAGCACAGTTGTTTTCCTTATTAAAAACTCAAAGCAAAACAGGAATTAAACCTCCACAAGACAGAGAATTACTTCTCTAAATTAAGATTTGCTTTGAGATACTAGTGATAGAAAAAGCACACAGTACCTTAAAAGAAAACAGGTCATTGGTTCTTATTTTAAAAAGGTCAGAGTTACCTAAGCACTTTAGAGAGTTCTCCAAGAAGATCCTTCTTCTCTTTCGTAAGGTCTCCCTGTGCACGTAAGGCACTGATGACACCTGCATATGCTTCCAGTTCTGAAGAATTAGAGCAAATAGTATTTCTATTTAATGCTCACAGCGAAGGAAAAGAAAAAAATTTTATTTTCAGTATTACTGACAGTATTCTATTAATTTTCAAAATCATTAAGAGGAACATGTCTTTCAATTATTTAGTGCTTTTCAAAAGAGATTGATGATTTAGAACTCGCTCAGTCAATTACTCTGCAGCGTACAGCTTTTCTATGAAACAATTGTATCATCACAGAGGATTATCTAGTTTATAAACCCAACCAAATATTTCAAGCTCTCTCTGAACTGACAGTTCAGCCAGAAAGCTTGAAGAAACAGTCCCCAAATTTGAAGAGTAGCTCAGAACTCTCTAGAAGCAGGAGAAAATCTTTAACACGTATCATTATTGAAAGTTCCATGGAAAAGCTTGGCTTGAAAAAGAAACACACTATCAAAAGTGCAACTGATTTTTCCGTAATTCCTTTCATTAATTAGCATGGAGAACATCAGCTCTAGTTTGTTAAATATGATCATCATAATCTTTTATGCCCATTTACTTGATCAGTACAACTGCTTGAATCTGAAAAGAATGCAACACACTGAGTTAAACCTGCTCAACACAAAAGAAACAATCCAACTATTCTTAAATGTAGACATATCACGAAAATTAACTCACAAAAATACAACTCTGATTTAACGCAGATTTATAATTCCAGGTGACCTATGTAAATGTCATGCCATCGGTGTTTTATTAAAAAAAAAAAAACAAACAAAAAAAACCCCAAATAGTTAAAGGCTACTGAAACTTCTGAATTTTGTCCTACTAAGCAGGGTGAAAATACACCTAATGCAAATAATGGAGTCTGCTAATTTGCCAAAGAATAACTTGCTATTCTAAGCTTAGCACAATTTAAGGAAATGTTACTGAAACTCCTGCTTTAAACCAGAAATACAAATTCTTTCGATACTTACATAGGTGCCTTTCATTCAGCACCCCCATGTCAGCAGCCAACCCAAACCAAGCCCACAACAGATCCCAGTTAACTAAAAGCAAGAATAAAAGGGGCAGGCCAAAACCTAACACCTCTGAAGTTTGCTGCAAAAGAAAGACTGATGCTATTCTGAAAAGCTTTCAGTTTAGGATTCCAAAGAGCTAATTTACAAATCAAATCAAGGAATTGTGCTGAAAAGAAGTCCTGCTCTCCTGTCCTGATTAAGCAGACAAAACCCAAAGCAGAGTCGCTTTGGTTAACTATGCAGCCTGCACAGGGATGCTGAGTGACCTACAGAAGCATTTACAGCTTCAGTTATAAAACATTAGCTAATTAATGCAATGGTTATTACTAATATCAACATTTATTTAGACAACCATGTTACAATATTTAAGATACTAATTATTTTCCTCTGTTAACAACATAATGTAATTCTTCAGATACAACCATATAATTATTTAGCAAGGACAGATCCCCCCCCCCCCCCCCGCATTTTCAATAGAGATCCTCTACACTAGGGGTTTAAAAATGCACATTCTGGCCTTTTGGAAGCTAGTAAAGATTACAGAACAGCTGTAACTAGCTTCTTCACCCTTATGTCTATGTAGCAATCATTAACTGGTGCACACTCTTTCCAACGCAAAACACATCAAACGGCCAAAACAGGTTTCACAAATCAATATCATTATTTCAAGTGCAAGGTGCTACCACCATCCCCTTATGCAGTTATAAACCACGAACACCGCAGAACAACGCTAGGTATTGCACACCTCAGGATGCATTTCAGCCTCACCTACACCACTGCATTTCACTCGTGACAGAGTACCCAGCTATTCCTGAACAGTCAACCAAGTAAGATGTTGGGCTGAGAGCTGGAAAAGTGGGACTCTATAAAGCAGATGAATATTGCAGTTACTCGCTCCCACTGCCAGTGCTCCTTCAGACTCCAGTCTTGTGGTGTATCTATTTAAACTGAGAGCTTCTCTACCCTAGAAGAAAGGAGGCTGCTACAGGCTCTGATCCTCTGTTACGCTGGCAGGGCCCCCTTGTGGGGACACAGCTCATGCCAGCAAAAAAAGATTTATTTTTTTTAATTTTTTTTTTTTTACTGTCAGCCTAGGTTATGTCATTGAAGGAGGTGTAGCTGCAGTTCTGTTTGGCTCAGCTGCACCAGCAAGGTTCTGCCAGCACATCGCCACCAGCTGGAGTGGAAGTTTTTTTTCCACACTCCTAGCCAGCAGAGCTACGTTAACAAAATTTAGCAGCACAGATCCGGTCCAAATCTTCTGGCATCCTGCACTTTCTCCTAGTTTTTGTACTTCTTGAGCCTTGCTTAAGACCTGGGGCTGCCACCTTAATGGACGTACGGCTTAGTTGCAATGTTGTGTGCAACATCTGTGTCACTGTCTGCTTCAACAGAATGCAAATCCCAGCTTCCCAAGAAATGAAATGAAAAGGACAAAGTGAGGGAAAATAAACTGTCAGAAAATAAAGTGGATGGCTGCATAACGTATGAGAACCTTGACACAGTTAAGTACAGCACATCATCTTTTAACATTCAAGTAAAACGAGAACAAGAAATGCTGTACTTGACGGTCACAGGAAGTTCGAGGAACTCTCTTCCTGACATCACCTCCTGGATTATGCTCCTCAGAAGACAGTCTGAAAAGAAAGCTAAGGGTTTCTTCTTCCCTTCTACTATTACGCATCATTTAACTGGCAAAAAACCTCTTAACTAAATAAAAAGAAATTCAGCTCTAAGAACTCAAAATTACAGTGCAAGATCAGATCAATGGACTAACAAAGGATTCTCTCTCCTGTGGTAGCCAAAAGTGGATGCCTGAGGAAAGAGCAAATATTTTTATTACCTTCCAAAATACAAAAGCATGTCTCCTTGTACACATCTATTTACAAGGACAGAGCACAAAAAAATCTCCCAATATATAACTACTGGACAGGGGTCTCAGATATTGAACTACATTTGAAACAATGCTGCTGTTGTTATGACAGTTAAGCGAGAACACTGTTTTCACACTTCCCTGATAATCTGTGTAACTGCAAACCACAAACCATCACAATTATTTTTTTCTCCTGTTTCAGGTCTTTACGATAGTACCTTTACTACTTGAACCCAGTCCCAGAGCACCAGTTAAATCAGGGTTCCATGATTTTTTTTTTTTGGTACAAAAAGCTGTCTAATACAGAATTGGAAAACAAATGACGACCCTTCTCTCACAGAGCATCCCGTTGCATGTTAATAGTCGTAAAAAGAACAGCAATGCAACACTGCAACATTGAGGCAGAGATGGTCTAGGACATCCATGAGAGATTCGACCAAACCAAAACAATTCTGCTCTATTCATTTTGCTCAGGAAGAGCGCATCTGCCAAACATCATTTTAAGCCAGGGCTGTCAAACCAATGACACATGCAAAATGCAGGAAATGACTTGTAAGTTGCCTGTAGACATATTAAAGTATTTCATGGAAGCAGCAGGCAGGCAAATCTTAAAAGGGCAAACATACAGACCCACAAATTGTATCTTACTGTACCCAGTTTGCGAAGGATCCTCTTGCATTCATCTCTGCTGAGGTCCAGAAGAGTTGGCCACACCACAGGCATCTTTCCCTTGTGTCTGCGCTCCCACAGAGCTCAGCCTCGCTGAAAAAGGAATATAAATGCAGTAAGTGCAAGTCCATCATTTATTGATTTCCCAAACCGATTAATGTAAACTCTCCTCAGCCTGCTCACAACTCCACCGACACAGTGGCTCCCATCCCCGCTCCAACCTTTGTAATGGCACACTTTGCCATGCAGGAATTCAGCAGTTTCACAAGGGCACGGACTTCCTATACTCTCTTGCTCAGATCCATCACCCAAGCCTTTTTACCGAGTTTCCCGTCTCCTTCTCAAGCCTTTTTTCATGCTGAAACGCTCTCCGAATTGATGTTCAAGTCTCCTCCCTCTCTTTATGCACAGGGCACCTATTATAAGAACTCTTCCAGCTAACCGCACGCTCCCCCTTCCCCCCGGGGAATGCATTTAGCACTAGCCTATTATATGACAGAACGGCACAAACACCCTGAAAATTTGCTTTCCACGTACCAACACCACCCCCCCCCAAAAAAAA